CGAACACAATTTTATTTTTAAATTTCTACGAACGAACGAACGAACAAAAATGTTATTTCTATTGCCTACGAACGAACGAACGAACGTTCGTAGCCAACAGTACTTTCCACTTAGTCCGTTGCAACGGAAATCAAGTTTGCATAGAATGCAGCGCCAACTATATGTGAATTTTATTTTTTATCGTTTTAGGCAATGAATCGATGGTTTTCTTATGGCTTCTTTAATTCGTTGTTGGTTGATTTTATATTAAATCTACCAAAATAGAATTAAAAATACCATATTTTTTCTCTCTGTGTAGGTTTATAATAAAACATAATTTTACTACTGAAATTTAAAGAATTTTTTTTTGTGAATTCTAGTATTGAAAGAAATAGATCGAAAAAAAAACTCATATCTCAAATGCGTTGGCATTTTTACATTATTATGCCATCTATTACCAAAACGTTTGAAACTTCACGCTTTTGTATAGTTTTTGAACTTTCGCATACAATACTCACATAAAACATTGTATTTGTCTATGTAATTTTCATACAAAATATCGTTTTTGTATATTCTCTTTTGAGCGGTTCATCTTCATTTATGCTTTGAAGAAGATTCGCAATATATTGCTGAAGTTCTATAAGTTTAGGTGTTTCAACGTGTCAGTAACAGGTGGCATAACGCGACTACTTTTGCGACTTTGTTCGAACATGTTTGAGCTATGCAAAAACTATTATAAAAGTGAAATGATTTCATTTAAAATTTGCACTTACACTTTTACGTGCAACTTCGCGTACCTAAAAAAGTTATGAAAATTAAATGAATAAAAAACATAGATAACGTCAAAAAAACAAACAAATGAACTGCATACCGTATCGCCACCAGAAATTACACAAATTCCGATCAAAATCTTTCCATCTGAAAATAAATAAACGCAACTGATATTTTAAAGTTCTATCAATTGTACAGGGTGTTCCATAATTTCCTACAGATTGCTCGGCTCTATAGATGTAAAAAACAGTATATAGGCAGCCGTAGGCAGGCATCGGGTAAAAATACTCTATGCTAGAGTTATTTTAATATAATGAAAATGCATACTATGACAATTACCTTTCCACAGATAATTTTTTCCCGAAGGGTGCCAACGACTGTAACCCACTATAAGGGTATACAGAGATTTATATGAAATTATGAAGCGCCTTGTAAAAAAGAAACGGAAAAGGGATATTAAGAAAAAAATATTCACCAAGAGGAATACCATCAGATTTTTCCAAGATATCATTGCCATGGATGAATGCAATACCTAAGAAATAATTTCAATTTATATTATATTTGATAAAAATCCAAATCAACTCACGAAGCTGCCCATTCAAATATGGCATTTCACCTACACCCCTATATCGGTTTTCGGTTGGCTCCAAATATATCTCTGCAATTAAATAATATTTTTATTTACTTTTAATTCAAAATGAATAATTTTATTTTTAATACGTGGGAAAATCCAATCTCCTTTGGGCAGTTTTGCTCGAATTTCTACTTTTCCATATTGAAAGTTAAATGTTTTCTTCGAACGAAATTTAGCAGATACAACCTAAGCGGATACAACCGGAGGTAATATTCGTAATTAATTACAGATTCATTTTTCATTAATTACGGATTCATACCGGGGGTAATATTCTCTTCAAACCCGCATGTCTCTCGCATTCTTCCTTTGGATCTATGAATGAAGTACATCTGATATAAACAAGAAAAAAAATGTAAAGATACGTACGACATATTAAGCTAAATTCATAATTTGGAAAGAGCTGTTCAAGATATTTAAACTTTTATATTTAACAGTTGGTAATTTGATTGTTATTGGTATAAAACAAAGTGAAAAACAATCTTACTCTTTGGAATCAATGAGAAAATGACCGGTGCGGATGTCAGCTTCAGAAAATCCAGATTCTTGAATGCGATACAACAATTTTGGAAAAATGTTCAAACTTCCCTGAGAGACATTCCAAACGCTTTCGATGAACGAATTTTAATTTTGTAGGATAAAACAATATATAAAAATTTAAAAGAAGAATTAAAATAACTTAAAAAATTGATGTTAAACAATAAAAAACTAACGTCCAATTGCCTGATCTAAATTCATTTTGGACTTCTATAATCTATATATCCCCCAGTAAAAATATTGTAATAAAAATGGATTCAATTCCAAATCAATATCTAAAGCGGTTTCAAAATATCAGTGGTTCATACAATGCAACATTTTTAACATTCACAACCTTCGATCCAACAAAACTCCGAAGCGAATCGACGCATTTTTTATATCTCTACAAAAAATATATTTTTGAAATTCAAAGTGAAACTTTTTTATAGATTTTACCGAGTGAATACGTAAAGTGTATAAAATTTTCAACAAAATTTGAAGGTAAATATAGTCAGTGTGTTGTATTTTGAACATATTTTCATGTCCAAAGTTCATTTTAATCATTAAGAATGAAATAAAAAAAAATCCCAGAACAACCAAAAATGGCGTTATCCGTCTAAAGTGATACGCTCGACACCGTCTAAAGTGAGACGCCATATAATTGTATGTTATGGAACAGTGTTGACATTTGAATGTCATTTTTTGGTGGGAAATTGTGTTTGCGTGTATTTGCATTGACTTTAACGTGATTTTTTTGTGATTTAATGTGATTTTTTTTTTAATTTTGGTGATTTTTTTAGCCATGTCACGTTATCAACGAAAGACCACCCACGGTGTCACAGACTTTGATCAATTGTTGAATGCAATCAAAGATGTTAAAATCGAAAAAACCGAATTATCATTGATGATGATATGGCAATTGCTGAAATTGTAGAGGTTGAAACATCGGAAGAACCATCCACTTCTAATCTCACTCGTAGCGCTAGCCTTTCCTCTAGCCTTTCTTCTGTGCTTAGTGCCATCGGCCCTCTGCAGCCAGCTACACCAAGAAAAAAATCAAATCGCGGCCGTCGTGCTATGCAAAGCACCATATTAACATCGCCCGAAACCGTTTCTATTTTGAAGGAAGGAAAACGTAAGCGCGATGAAGCCAAATCAAAGAAGAAGAAACAGGCCGCGAAGAAATCATCGCAAACAGTCGACCTCAAAACGTTCAAAACGCAAGGCCTCTTCTTCATCATCATCAGGATCTGATGAGGATCCGTGTTTGGCTTGCGGCAAGTCGATGCAAGGCCCATTGACCAGACACAATTCAATCACATGCTGCACCTGCAAGGGGTACGCTCACTTGAAATGTGTTGATCTAGGCCGCTCAAGTATGTATGTGTGCCAAAACTGTGACTCGGATTTGGAAATGGAGTAATATTAATCGGCCTCTTTCATTAAAAATTGATTTGAAACATTCAATAACAATCAAAATATTAAATAAATGAATCAATTTAATAAATTATTATGTGTTTTTATAACATTTCCCAATTTTCATGCAATTTTATCACACTTTTTTATATTTTGTTGTGCGTCTCACTTTACACGGTGAAATTTTTTTTGGCCAAAAATCACATGTTTAGAAAATCTAGAATATTTTTTTATTTTAATCGCAATTTAATCACTTTCTTCAGCAAAGTTGTAGCAATGGTCAATAGCTATCCAACGGTATATGAATCTTTTCGATATCTTATCATTTGAAATTTTTATGATGAAAAAACAAAACCCGTCTCACTTTTAACGGTTCTCCCCTACTTTTAATTTCCATATAAGCGTAACATTTGTTGACTATGCATTATAAAAGTGTATGTAAAGATTTTTGGCAGCGCTACTGACATACAGGGTGTCTCATATATTTGCAAAACTTTATCCGATCTAGAAATAATTTACTACAAAGTTGTTCAGAATGATGAGAGAAAACCCCTTAACCCATCATTTTTTAGCCAAAAATTCCCCGCTTAGCATCATGACTTAATCTTCAATCAGACATTTTATCGTGTACATTAGTTGAACGAGGTGTGATTAAATAGAACTGGAATCTCAGTTGATAGTAAAAGAGCAACATGATTTTTTTTGTATAGCTTTACAATTGTTTGTTACTGTTTTATTGTCAACTGGAAGTTCTTTTGAAACCTATGGGTTAAATTTATACTAAAAAAGAACATTATGCTCCCATCTTACATTACTTGAAAACAAATTTATTGTCAAATAAATATATATACCTTGAATATGAATGGTATATTACGAATTCAGCATCCTATTTAAAATTTAAAGAAATAATAATAAAATACTTTTGTCAAACTTATGTAAAATCATCCAAGCATCTCGATTTGTAATTAAAATTTATTACAAATCGGCATAGGTCAATCTGCACATGAGTGATTTCAGAGTGGTTTAGCTTCTTACGGTGGCAATCCAATAGGTAGAAAAGATTCCAAGAACTTCACAAATTTAATTCAATTCAATTGGAACATAATATTATGTAATATATCCCGTGTGCAAAAAAGTGACTTACAGACATTCAAGTATAAATTAATTAATTCGACTATACAGGGTCAATTGAAGTGTTACATTTTTTCAATCATTGTTCAAAAAATAACAACAATGCAGTTTCTGTCACTCTTTTGCATAACGGTACATCAAAGTGTTGTTTACAAAATATACTGCGCATTTATGAAATTAGTGCTCGCAGTCGCACTATATTCATCATGGAAATCAAACGCAATAGCGTGATCGCTCTTCATTTGGCTGGAGAGTCAAAAACAAACATTTTGAGAAAACTAAATCATTTTGATATCAATAGAATATTTGTGCATCGTATATACCATAAAACGATATAATGAATCTGGCAGCATCGATAAACGTCATGGTGGTGGTCGGAAAAAGACAGCAACTTCATCAGAAATGGTTCGGCGAATAAAGAAAAGAATTGATCGTAATCCGAGACGAAGTGGTAGAAAAATGGCTGTTGAATTGAAAATAACCCGAATTAGCATGAAAAGAATATTAAAAAATGAACTCAAGGTCAAGCCATTGAAGATGCAAAAAGCGCATGATTTAACTCCAGAGCAAATGAAAGTTCGCGTATAAAGATCAAAGTTGTTGAAACGGTTGGCCGAAGGTGGCCATTTGCCAAACATTGTTTTTTCTGGCGAAAAAATGTTTAGCATCGAACAATTTGCAAACAAACAAAACGACCGGGTATATTTAGCAAAAAGATCGAATGAAAATGTGCATCTTCGTTTGGTCACCAAAAAGCAAGCACCAGCTATTGTGATGGTTGGCCGACATTACGGCCGATGGTCGTTCTCCGCTGGTATTTTTGGATGCTGGTGTCAAGGTAAGTGCTCAAAAGTACCGTGAAACTGTCTTTTAGAACCAGTATTGAAGCCACACAAACATTTCAAAGAAAGAGCACACACTTTTCAACAAGATTCTGCACTGTCTCACAAAGCACGCGTAACCCAATATTGGCTCAAAAATAACGTTTAGAACTTCATTTCGAGTGAACAATGGCCGCCATATTCTCCGGATGCGAATCCATTGGACAACTCAATTTGGGATATATTGCAGACCAAGGTCGGTTTAAAAAAATACCAAAGTGTGGATGCCTTAAAGTCAGCCATACGTCGAGAATGGAAGCGAATTCCAGAGTCTCACATTCAGGCAGCATGTAACTCGTTCATTGGCCGGCTCACTGCCATAATTTGGGCCAAAGGTCAACAAATCGAAATGTTGAACTGAATATGAAAATTTATGTCTTTTTCCAATGTTTTTTAATTTGAATGAAAAATATATACGGATAAATGCTAAATTTACAGACGTCTTTTTTTGAAACACTTCAATTGAGCCACCCTGTAATAGCCTAAGTTGATTACTTTTCTTGCAAATTTATAAATTATATGTATAGATAGTCGAAACGTCTCATATTAGCTACCTGACTTGTGAATATTCTTAAACACGAGAATTAGAGAAATTTTAATTTTCGAAAAATCTACCCTGAAAATTTTTCTTCGCACACTACCTGGTGTACACAGAACCAAAACAAACAGAGTCGAATTAATTATCAAGTCTAAAGTTCTCAAGCTGATCTTTTACGAGATATCCGTTGATCCTGGTTTTCAGACACAGATGTGTAAATTTTAAATCTTTTTTTTTTATTCCGAGTTGTTGTTGGGTTGAATTTTTTAATGTAATGCGTGGAAATAATGTTAATTTTTCCAATTCATTTGTATAGTTTTTTGTCATTTGTATTATGGGAAATGTGTTTTCTAGAAAAATTCCAGCAAGGAGAAAAAGCACATTTGGAATCGTTTATACCTATTCATGCTTTTCGGTGTTTGTAAATTTGACATAGAAAATAGAGTCGCAATGTTGGACAAAGGACAACCCGAGTGAAAAATGGCATTGAATTTTTCAATGCGTAGTGTCAAACGGCATTTAAGCAATAAATCGACACCGCATGGCTATAGCGATGTGGTGTATGCACTCAACGTGCGCACGGACCATGCGGTCTCGATTTATTGCTTAAATGCAATTTGACACTACGCATTGAAAAATTCAATGCCATTTTTCACTCGGGAAGCACTTCATAAACATTAAAATTACGTTGACTCTATTTTATTTGAAATGACTGAAATCCTAAATCTCGCCTGAAATGTGACCGTGAACTTGTGCATGATAGTGGGTCATTATGTGATGAACATTTTTTTTCTTGGTAACAAATTTAAACTATTACTGAAACTAAAACGCATAAAGAATGTACTTTTTTACAGATAGAACGCGGCTATTCTTATGACAACAAAATTACAAACTCATTGTCTCGGACCTTGAGCAACACCAATACTGGCTGCAGCTGCCGAGTTGTAACCAAACTTTGCTAATCAGGAAGTTTTTAAAGAAGCCATTACCTCAATTTCAAGTGGCATCCTAATAAAAAAAAATTGTATTTAAAGATATAGAAAAATAAAAAAAATTATTCACTAACCTGACATCTTGGCTCCATCGGTCTAGTAACGATCCACGATTAAACTGTTCCTCGAATATTAACGTATCTTTACAGCTTATGTGTTTTTTATTAACGGTTGTGATAGAAGGATGACAATTTTCGTAATTTTGTTGATTCAATGGATTTGGTTCGTTTTGTTGGTGTGACTGTTGCTGTTGATTATATTCATTTTGTTGATTGTATTGATTTTGATTATTGTTTTGCTGGTTATAGTGATTTATATGTATTGGGTGTTGTGTTGTGGTGGTCCAATAATTTGACGATGAGGTTGCTTTAGTTGTGTATCTAGAAGCATACATATTTGGTTCCTCATAAACTTGAGTTGTTGTTGGTACTTTTTGTGATGAATTCCAAACTTCATCATTGGTTTCTTTCGATCCGTTTGACCCTCCGAAATTTGAGAATTCCGAATTATAAACAAAATGATCTTGAAATCAAAAAATTAATTGTTTTTTGGTTTCTTTATAGATTTTTATACACAGAAAAAAAATACAATGTAAACTAAATGACATGCCATATAAAATTCGGAACTAGTTGACAATCCGTTTAAAAATGTATTTGTCCATCTAATTTCCATACAAAATCCAAATTTCATCATCATGTGACAATATGAAGATCGTAATTTGTCTGTTTCATCTCTGGATAAATAAATATTACCTGGATATATATATCTTTGATTTTGTAAACTGTATCCGAATCTTCCATGCTGAACGTAAATCCAAAAGTTCAAGACATCACCTTGGCGTAGTTGATATTGATTGTTTTCGTATGACCTTTCAAATATATTTATTTATTGTTTATATATACCGATTTTTTATTATTAATAACAGAAAACTAACCACAAGCCCATAGATTTAGTTCTAGTTTGACCATAAAAATCACCCACTTCATTTATTTGAATTTCTTTATTGATATTCCCATGAAAAGCAAACAGAACAATGCCTCGTTCATCTATTTAAAAACGGTGTTTTATTTGAATAATGAAAAAGAAATGGTACATAATAAACAAAAAGTGAGACGATTTTATAATCTTTATTTATTTTGTTTTCCATTCAAAGTCATACGTCCTCAAGGTAAAAATTTAAGGGGATGGGGGTAATTGGTAAAAAATCGAGGGGGTAAGCCAAAGCGCGACGATGACAAACAACGTTGACAGTAGCACCATGGTGCGGTTCCCAGCGAAACTAAAAAATGGCACAAATTTCGATCGCCTAAATCAAAAATGGTACAAATTTGAGCCACCCAACATAAACAGTGACAACCATAATGAGGTTGCTGCGTTGCCCAGCTGTCATTGTCGTCGTGCTTTGGAGTAAGCAAAAAAGCAAATTGTATTTAGTGTAAAGTGTAATTTTTTTGTTTTTTATGCGCCTCACTCTTTTTGCAAAAATCCCTAGTGAATCGAAAGAATTTTTCCCAAAAACCCTAACAAATCGAAAAAACTTCTCCAATTTTCAAAACTTGTTGAGCAGAAAAATGTTTTCACTTTTCCAATCAAATACCCTAGCAAATTAAAAGAATTCCTTGGAAATGTTTGAAGGGTAACACTTCGTCAAAGGGGTTAATCGGACACCTCGGACCCCTGCTGAGGATGTATGATTCAAAGTTATCACATTTTGAAGTTCAAGTCTTGAACTTCAAGACCATGTAACTTTTACAACAACTTGGGATTTTTAAACGCCATTGATATACTTTATGATGTTACTTCATTTATTATTATCAGAGAAAAAACTGGCTTCTATTTACACCATTCAACCCTTTAGCTCATAGCTTCTGACCATGGGTCCAAAGGGTTGGATTAGCCCCCCTGGAGAACAGATTTGAGAATTACCCCTTTACTTAAAAATAATCGAAATATTCTTTCGATTTGCTAGGACTTTTCCTATAAAAAGTGAAGAGTTTAGTAAAATAAGGGGCTCCTAGGGTACCCATTCCAATTCTCTGAGATGAAGTTTTCAAAGAAACAACGTATCGTATAAGAGTGAGCGAGATGAAATAAGCTGGAATTGAATCTTGTTGAGTAGGTTCGACCTGATCCAAAATGTTTTGGAAGTTAAGATCTACAGGAGTGTAGAATTTCGTTATTTTTCACGATTTCCCGTCGGAAAAGCGAGAAAATCGCCATGTAGTTTTTTCCATTTTCATTTAGTATTCCATTCAGAATATTAATATGCAATATACAATGCTAAAAACCGGATGGCCAAACTACTTTTATCAATTTTTCTAAAAGGTAATGTCAAATGCCTTAATAAAGTCCCTAACGCAGTTTCTTACACACTTTTACTCACACACAAACAAAACAAAATGTCAAAAAACAGCTATTCGAGCGAACCATTCATGCTTCGGAATGAAAAAAATGTTTGAAAGATCTATGATATTTCGAAAAATGGGATGTATATTCGAATGTCCGCACATGTGAAAGTCGAAACTTGGGACTAGGTTTAAATAATTGTACCAAAAATGTACTTAATAGTACCGCAATTTATTTTTAATTGTACCTTACTCGTTTGGCTAATATTTGAGGTTCAAATTTCGGGGCACTTCAATTTGCTGGTCAACTAGCCAAAATAAAACTCAAAGATATTTTTTAAATTTTTATAGCTGATAATAATTGTACCTAAAATGTACCTTCAAAATAACATCATCATAAAGTCATTACTTCGATGGTGTTCTTCTGCAGAGCATGTCCTTCAAAATTCACGGGGGGTTTCCCGAAAAAATGGCAAAAATAAAAAGGTATATTAGAGGAATTCAAGTCTAGTTATTTCGTTAAAAGACCACACACCGAAAGGTATAATCGGTCTATAAATGATTGTTGTTGTTGTTGTTGTTGTTGAAAAGGTATATATATATCAGTAATGTGCGAGCTACATTTTACAGGGGGGGTGATTTTTCAAAAACCAAAAATTCTCTAGCAAATCAAACAAATTTTCGTTTTTTTTTTTGGAAGTCACTTTTTGAGGCGAAAATCCCTAGCAAATCGAAAGAATTTTCTCCGCGAAAAACCTTAGCAAATCGGAAAAAAATCTCTCGGAACCAAAAACCCTAGCATATTTAAAGAATTCTCCTCAATTTTCTACATTGATGAGCTAAAATAAAAAAAAAAGGTCTTCACTTTTTTCATGAAAAACCCTAGCAAATTCGAATAATTTTCGCGAAAAAAATTTTCTCATCCAAATCACGGGAGGGGTAAACCACCCCCCCCCCTACCCCCCTCGCACATTACTGATATACACAAACATGACATCGTATAAGCCATAACAACAGAGCACAATATGCTGTGTAGAAGTACTAATACATGCGCGCACTACTCAGCTTCGTCTTTGCTTGTTGCTTCAAGCGTGCATGTGATGCTTGTGAGAATGTACCCCCCCTACCCCCTTCGCACATTACTGATATATAGTATGAAAATCGGAAAATTGACATTTCTGTCCCAAGGAGTGAGTCCCAAATTCAAATGATGACATTTTTGAGAGTCACAAATTGGTCACTAAAATATGACACCATTTATTTTGATCTAAGTATTTGCTTTGAAAAATTTCATTGATTTTCGACTTTTAGTATGAAAATCGGAGAATTGACATTTCTGTCCCAAGGAGTGAGTCACAAATTCAAATGATGACATTTTTGAGAATCACAAATTGGTCACTAGATCTGTGTCGAAGAATTTTTATGATTACGGTTGTTTTTATGGAAAGCCTTTTCGAAATTTCGATAATAATTCTTTTTTGGCCAAATTTCACTTTTTTGTTCAAAAAATTTCCGCCAGATATCGTATCGAAATTTTGAAAACATTTTTGGAAATCAAAAATTAATCACTAAAATACTGCATCATTAGTTTTTCGAAAGGAGCGAGTACGACGTTTCCCCCTTTGCTAAGCGAAATAAATCCGATATACGGCGCTGATTTAAATGTCACTCTATGTCATTCCACAATGATACATTTTTTGGCTTGACAATATATAAGCTCTTCATTCAACATGCATAATTTTTGAACGGTCGAGTAAAAAAAAGAAACATATCATAAAATATTCTTCTTACGTTTATCATAAAAATTCTCTATATTTTAAATTTATTTGTTTAAAAATAACAATAATTTCAATTTTTTTTTTCATAGATTGAACAAGAATCTAATGTAAAAAGTAATACCAATGCGACACCTACCGTTAAAATAGAAAAGGAAACTTATTTGGAATTGTAACATTTTGGTCCGCCATAACAGCATCTTCGTTTTGCTTCTCTGTGATTGGTCAAGTAAAACGAAGATGCTGTCATGGTGGACAAAA